GATCCCACATCTGATGCTGTGCAGCAATAGCAGCCTGAAGTTTCTGGAGTTTGGGTGATCCCCACCTGCACTGAGAATCATGGATGGGTGCTGTGGGTCCCCCCCCACCCCCCCAGGCAGGCGCTCACACAGACCTTGGCAGGTGCCTGCGCGGAAGGGGGCCGTCACTTGGTTTATGCTGCCTTTTAGTCCCTAACCCCGAACTCCAGGGGCTCTGCAGCCCCAAAGCTTCCCTCCTGTTGGAAAATACTGTGTGGGGTTTTCCTTCAAGAATGTTGCTCTTTTTCCCCAAATCAGAGAGGGAGAGAGGTCGGCTTTGCTCGGTGTTGGTTTGTCCCGAGCGTGACGTTTTGCTGGGAATGCGGCTTTGCGGGGGGCGCGTGGTTGGGGGGGGGGTCCCCCCCCCCCCCCCCCCAGCCTGCCTCTTCCTGCACAGGACAGGAGGTTTCCTGGGCCGAGAGAGGCGCAGGGCAGGAGGTGGGTGGAGGCTGCTGGGCCATGACAGGGAAGAAGCAGTGTCTGCGGGGGCCAAGCATCAAAGGAGCACGGACCGCGTACTCAGACCCAAGGAAGGACACGCAGCATGCAGGCGGCCCCCCAAGGGGCTCCCAAGGCGGAGTCTGTACAGGGCACTTGTATAAGATGCTCAGTCCCGCTTTCCTTTCCAGCGCTGGCAGGCTGCCGACAGGACCTTCTGCCGGCAACTGTGCTCGTCCCAGGAGGCCTTTTTTCCTATTGGTCGGAATTTCCCCCTCGGCCAATCCGGACTTTTTGTCACCGAAGCCGCTGGGCCGGAGCTCCTCCTACTCGGCAGAGCGGCGCCCGCGAGCGGAGAGACGAGCGCGCTTCTCTTGCTTTGGAGTGAAATCCGAGAAAGCGGAGAAAAGCGCTGGACACCCGGCGAAGATGCGGCGCCTGTGGCCGCTCGCTCTTTTCCTGTGGGCGGCGGCCCTCAGCGCGGCCCTCTGCTCCGGTGAGTCTCTGCGGTGCCCGGAATTGGCCCGGAGGGCCCGTGCGGGGTCGGGCTGCCTCTCGGTGTTGCGGCGCATTGGCTTCTTGCTCGGCTCACCTCGCAGTGTAAACCGGGCTCAGCCCGCTTTCGATCCGCTTCCGCCCCCGCTACGCCTGCTGGAAATGGTTTGGGGTCCCCGGTCCCCCTTATTTATTTTATTTATTTATTAAAACATTTTTATGCCGCCCCATTCGCCGAAGCCTCGGGGCGGAGAAGCGCGTCGGGATCGGGCTGCTAAATACATGGCGAGAAGAACGAGGTAGATCCACTAATCAACAAAAGAGTAGAAATAAAAATAAGTAAGGTGGGTGACATGATCTTCTCGGTTTGATCCTTCCAACCCTGTGAGGTGGGGTTGGGAGTCCGTGACTGGCCGAAGGTCGGTTCGTAACCGACGGGCCACGAATCCGGATCTCCCGAGTCGTAGCGCAACACGCCAACTAGTAGGCGACGCTGCCTCTCGTTTCCTGAGCGAGGGCTTCCCTGGATTGAAGGATCTTCCCTTCCAAATGTTAGTAAGGTATTGAACGTTGTAGGCGATGCCCCCTTCTCTTAAGAACTTGCCATAGAAATGGCTGCGGAAGCCGCGGGAGGGGCAGGCGGCGATTCGGGGCCTGTTTGTGCTTTTCGGCCTTCCTGCTCCACGAGGAGCTGCAACGGGGAAGACGAAGCGGACCGGAGGAGCGAGGGGCTGGGCAGCCTCTTTCTCGGGCACTTCAGACAGCCATCCCCGAACTGCGTGTTTCTCTCCCCCCACGGCCGCCCTGCACACCCTGTGGGTTGCCCTCGGGGGGGGGGCGCGTGGCCAGGCGGGGGTCATCCCTCTTGTGCCCACCCTGCTTCAGTCCTAAAGAAGGCGTCTCTGGATCTCGAGATGGCCGCCATTATAGAGCGGTGGCCAACATCCCGTTCTTGGGCAAGGTGTTGGAGCGGGTGGTGGGACAACTCCAAGCACTCTTGGATGAAATGGACTATCTGGACCCATTTCTGTTCAGCTTCAGACCCGCCTCCTTCAATATTTGCCCTCCCGCCCCCTGAGATCGGCAGCAGAGGCCCTCCTCCGGGAGCCCTCCGTGAAAGACATTAGGAGGCAACGTACCCAGAGGAAGGCCTTCTCTGCGGTGGTGCCCCACCTATGGAAAGCGCTCCCCAGAGAGGTCTGCCTGGCGCCGTTATTTGTTTTTCGGCGCCGGGCCAAGACCTTTTATTTAAACAATATTTTAACAACTTTTAATATTATGTATAGGTTTTAATTTGCAGCCAGGGTGAATCTGGATTTTAGGTGCACTATTTGTACGGTTGTTTATTTATTGCATGGAAGCCATCCTGAGGCTTATGCGAATGGGATCTGGCCTTGCGCGGGATCTGGCCGTGCCTGCAAACCGCTGGCCTGCTTGGAGCCACCTGGCCTGCGGACTCTGTACCACGGCAGATGCCCTGAGAGGGGAAGATGGAGAGAGGCCCCTTGGCCACCCCTGGGAGCTCAGCAGGGCAGGTCCTCACACAGCTCCATAGGGAACCTGCAGGGCTGTCACGGGCCCTGCTGTGGCAATCCAGTCCCAGCTCCATCTGCATTTCCCAGGGTTGTCCTAGCCTGTATTCACACCCACACCCTTCTCAGTGGGAGGAACAACACTAGCCTACCTTGCAGGGCTGGTGTAACCAGCACCTTTTCAGCCACGGTCCTGTCTCCTGCAGTAAGGGCAGAATAGTGATTTTCTTTATCTGCACATGCCGTCAAGATAATTCTCAAAATATTCATACTTTCAGGGAAAAAAATACACTAACAAGACCTGAGTGGGAAGATCACAACTCCCATCTTTGCTTCCTACCTTGTGTTTTTTTGGTAGCCGCACCACTGCCCAAAATCGGAGAGCGGAAATTCCCCCATGTCTGAATGGGGTGTTGTCGTGTGCCATGCAGTCGTCCCCATTCGAGGTGCCCCCTGGGTGAGGGCCCCGCAGAAGGCCCTGCCCGGACAGCCCCGCTCAGCTGGAAGAGTCGCTCCATCGCAGGCGTGGTCTCCCTCTTTCTCTTTTGCATTCAGCTTTCCCCAGAATTGCCTTCCCCCGTGCGTGTAGTGTATTCGAGATGTGCCAGGAGTACGACAGCTGCAGATATGTAGCTTCAGTTTTGTCCTTTTTTGTGTTCAGAATTTCTAAATATGTTCCTTTAAAAATGCAGCTGCTTCCTAGCTCATGGGGAAGACCCCGGAAGGGCTTAGCACCCTCAGATTGCACATGCGTTAACTTCATTGAGGGAAAAAGGAAGACACAGAAGTGGGAGCTGTTGAATTTCTCACTAAATGGGCAGGCAGGAGAGG